TTTATCGGCCACTACATACATTCACAATATTTTCCTCTTCATCGTCAGTATCTGTAGAATCAAACTCATTTTTATTTGCAACCGATATATCTTCATTTTCAGAAAATTCATCTTCACTAATTTCTGAAAACTCTTCGCCAATATTATTGATATCTTCTAAGAACTTGTACTGTCTTGTTTGCTTCGACATTTTTCTGGGTAAAAAATGATCTATATTACTATAGCTATCAAAATAAAATATAAGCTAGGTACTTACCAAGACTTTAAATTTTTTGCCACTTTTTCTTACACTAAAAAGCTATTTTCAATCTAAAATTTGATATTTTCTTGAAATTATTCTGAGCTATTTTCGTTTGAACTACTTTACGCAACAGTCTTTGGAAGAATGTGCAACTTACTGACTACAAATATGACTAGATAATCTCATAAAACAAAAAAATTATTTCCGGGTCAAATGACCTGTTGTGGTAGATATCGGTATACAACAAGGATTACTCAGAATAAACAAAACAAAACAAACATATTTTTATAACTGTACATTAATTACTTAGAAAAAGTCATGAAGTCAAATGTGCAAACGCAATAAAATTATACGTGCATTTTCAATGGAAAAGTTCAAAATGGGTCATTTGACCCGTTATGGTATGTTTAGTGTTTAGGTCGTTATGAATGATTTTATTTGTGATAAAGTAAGGAGCATTGAGGATTTAACGAAGGATTTTAGATTGTAAGGATTGGATAAGAGGTGAAATTGATGGTTTAGTAGTGCCCCAAAGCTCGATCCCGTAAGTCCAAATAGACCTTATTATAGTAATATATATGAGTACTTTTGTAGATAGTTGGAAGTTTAGAGCGTTTGTCTAGGTCTGTTTTAAAATATTTTAAAAAATATATATAATTTTTATGATTTCATTTAAACTTTTTGTCAGAGATTTTAAATATTTGTGCAAACTATATCAAGCATATTAATAAAAATAAAATGAGTTTAATGTGAGAGGCAAGAATGGGTGTCAAAGGTTCCAATCCCCTTCGGAGACCAAGGTTGAGCTTCAGATGCTTCTCTCCAAATGTCTTAATGTTAATTGCATTGGCCGCATACAAATAAATATTTTCTGTTATCGGTTTAATCTTAAATCCCAGATGCGTAACGTATACAGTTACCTCAGTATCAGTAAAAAATGCTTGGCCCGTCCGTTGCTGTGATATGAATACGTTCGGCTTCCGCTGATCCGACTAACTCCACTTCCGATTCGCTTACTAGTTTCCCGTACCTCTTGTCTTCTTCACCCAATTACAAGGTGATTCGCATCTCCTGTCCTTTTTTTACTTTCCTACCTATATTAGGTAAGAAAAGTATTGCAATCGGGTCAAATTTCCGAGATGCGGTTTCTGACTGATCTATACGTTTCAGAGCCCCCTGAGTCCAAAAAACAAATTTTTAGCCATTGGTCTGTCTGACTATGCCAAGATTTTTTCGGGAACTAGTGAACCGATTTTGTTGCTTCTTTATTTATTTTGGAGAGTTTTGACTACCTGATGCCTGTGACACAAATTGGATGCTCCATGCGCAATAGCCGCTGTGCAATAAATGAAAACCATGTTTCTCTATAGACTGTAGCGCGAAAACGGCTCTAACGATTTTGATGAAACCTCCCAATAATGTTCTAATGATTGTCCTTTCAATTATTGTATATGGACTAAATTGCCGAGAAAATTCAGAACAGGTTAACATTGCTTTAATTTATCGTACTCAAATCTTTTCTTTGATCAATTTTCAGGAAAATAAATCAAATTCAATTTTTTTTTTGTTTCTTGATGGACATATGTAAAGGTATACAAACATTTCTGAAACAGGTAGGAAAGTCGTGTAAGTGGACAAGATTTTTTAATTTTAAATTTGGAATAGTAAAAAAATCTGAGTTGCTTGGGTTTCCTTTAGAACTTTCCCCTCCAAAATAGGGATTCTTGTTCACTTACGGCTTCTTTGTTAGTCTGCGCTGACATAAAAGTTTGTTACGAAACATCTTGAATTTTGTTGGCGATTTTGGCCAATTTATTTACTTCAGTTTCTTCAGTGTACATAAGAATAGCCTGAATATTGTGAGGTAATGCTTGAAACAAAATAGTCTTCAAGACACCATATTACAACTACCCCATCAGCTAACTGCTTCATGTGCCTTAGTAAATGTGAGATTTTTCCTTCTAAAAGATGCTGGATAAGCTTAAATCAAGAACCCATATAAATGCTAATAATTCTAGCCTTAATATCTTGGTACGGTGTTGAGCTTAGGTGCTTACTAAAATCAAACACCAGAGTGCTTACTAAATGCTCCCGGTCCTTTTTCGAGAAAGGAGATATTTTTCGAAGGCAGAAAATGCAGACACATGTTCCTGGGTGATGACTTTCACATTTTCAAACAGTACCATACACACACAAAAAATAAATGTAAAGCTTTCCTCCAGTTTACACTAACAATCATCCAATACCAGAAATAAATACAGTAACTTACTTGGGATTTTTTTTTTTGACAGAAGGCTAACATGGGGCCACACGTCAAGATGAAACGTAGAATGTCAATAAATTTCCGATTAAGACTATTATATTCTAAATTACCCATTAAATAAAACCTAACGTTTATACCTGTTCACTGAAACCTAAACGCTTGCCAAATTTATGGACAAACATTCAGTAAATACAAACGTACCAATCTCAATTTTTTTGACCGATAAGATACTCACCACTCTAAACTCTTCAATCAGACTTGTGCATTCCAACTGTAACAACCCACATTTGTACGAATTACAAACGGTTTCACAACAAACTATATAGACACATAAACAAATTTGTACAACAAATGGCAACAAATAACATTCCTGATGTATCTAAGCCAGAGGTGCCCATCCTCCCTAAGGTCGATGAAGCATGACCTCCCCCCTCCTCTCTCCTTCAAAGATATTTTATTTCTCTTCTCTTCTTAAAAACAGTGGAAGCTGAAGTCAAGTTTTTAAAATCATAAGTCATATACATTTACACTTTCAGTGGTGTGAACTATGCTTCCTTCTTGTCTCCTGATTTGAATCATTTCGTTCCGAAAATTCATAAATGTGTCCCCCTCTAATGTTGAAAACCCCGTCAAAATGTGCCCCCCTCAAATATTTTGATAATGGCAACTTGGTGCTGTCTATCTTCCTTACCATGTATGTTTTATATCAATTCATTTGCCGATTGTAATATTTTACAGGTGCAAATAAAATATTTGAGCTCATCATCATAATCATTCCTTGCCCCTTCTAGCGCGGTTCGGTGTGAGGGTCCTGCTTATAATGTCTGGACCAGCTGTCTCTCTACTTCACCAACTCTATTCTCCTACTCCAATCCATTCCACGCTTCCTGAATGCCTCCTTTACACTGTCCTCCCAAGAGCCAGTCCAGCTCTATTCGTTCTGTTTTCTGTAATATTATAGACTTTAAGGAGAAGCAGGGTATCAGCCCACTTCTTCCAAGTCAAGTAGAGGGGCTGCCTCTTTGGAGCACCCTGACTTACTCCCCCATCCGGGCTACCTAGAGAAGGTGAGCCTAGGGTGTGTACTGACTGTGACCTTATATTACTATAAGTGATTTGTGTACTGTTTTGAATGTGTTAGTGCTGTGTACTGAACTCGGGAACCGGAGGAACGTTAATCCCCAATAGCTTTGCACTAAGCTACTGAATTTTTCTAATAATAAAAATTTTCTCGATTGCAATACTTACCCATACTATATATTACATATACACGTAAGTGAAAGTAAAAATATTTTAAAATCTATCTCTACTAATAGTGTTTCGATTTCGATGAAACATCTTTCATTTTTTAGGAAATTTAAATACCTTTAAAACATCTTATCACAATATTGACAAAATAGTGTATACTTGTTGATATTGATATAATTTAATTTTACCATCTCTCGTAACTTTTTGTCCAGTTTCGTTGAAGTATGTTATATAGATAAATCTAAAGGGTGTCCAGAAAATGACTTTAGCGAAATTTCATTGACATCGGTACATTCATTTAGGCGCTATAGTGTATAGTAACGCAGGTTTTTCTGCATTTTTTTTCTCCTTTATTAACTTATCAAATTCTTTCAAAAGTTATATTTAGCATTTTTTCGTAATTCTGAATAATGTGAAATGATTAACTTGTTAAAATAAACTATATTAAAGTTACTTTAAAGGAAGACGTATATGAACATCGTGGATTTAAGCTCTGTAAAGTGATATAAATGAGGATAAGACCTGATTGATATTAAAGACCACTTAATTATACAATGATACACGGACTTTAATAAAAATCGTTAGAGCTGTTTTCGAGAAAATTATAAAAATGTGTTTCAGCGTTGATATAAAGTGACACTTCCGATAAGCCGATTATGAGGAAAAAGTTGTTGTCACATCTAAGGCATATACCTATCTTAAATACGTAATATCAGTTTCGTACGACTTTTCGTTTTTGAGCTAGACTGCTAACATACAGACACACAGACCATTTTTCGGGACTTTGTCATTTCGACTCAGGGTTCCTCAAAACGTGTATTTCTCTCAGAACTATTAAATTGAATTAAATTTGATTTTAGAAAACTCAGATTCTAAAATTTTTTCTATCGCAATACTATATATTACATATATAAGTAAGTGAAAGTAAAAATAATTGTTACATCAAAACAAAGAGCTAATAAAAAATAAGATAATAATGTAATTCTGCCTATCTCTATCATGCATTGAACACTATCATTTTACACTAGCAAGCTAGAGTATAATTTAATAAGTAGCTATGTAATTTAGGTCCTTTATTAGCAAAGGACCTGGCTAAGGCTTAAATTTAAATATACATCTTTAGAGGAGATAAAATTATTTATTTAAATCATGTTCTAGTTTTGAAGGAACAGCAAAGAATTAACAAGGAATTTAATTTTATCTTTCAGCAGAGAGCAGATAATACTATATCTGCACTTAGTGAGCATCATGAGGCCGATGAGTGTTTTTCTTCTGAGTTTGTTAGCTCTGTACTGCTTCCTGGGAGCCGAAGGAAAAACTGAGTTTCTGCCAGGACAAAAAAACGCAACCAGTAAACCCAGTAAACAGATGTTTTCATTTCCATTTTCTATTTTTAATTTATAATATTTTTAAATAAGTACCTTAATTTAAGGTTATTGGTCATTACCATGTTAAAAGAAAACAGGATGCTTCATAAAGACATCATTTAGTCGTATAAAAAAAAAAAATCTTGCAATATTGTTAGCAAATAGGCAAAACTGTTTATCCTCAGTAGCAGTTCCTACATTTTCTTATACTTATGCAGTTTAAAAACTTCATCACTAAAAAAAAAAACACATTTTTCACATAAAATGAAAATTTATGGAGATAGGGGGAAATGATGATGACGAAGATGAACAAGAACCAGAAAATTAATTTTACTAGTGTAGCAGAATTGATATTTCCATTAAATATTTTAAAGAAGAAAATACTATCTTTTTTGATGCGTCTATATGCTATAGAATTAATACTTGATATTCATATATCGAAAATGTCAATAATATAGACCATCGACTGTTTCAAGTCCGATATTTTAATTATCGATATAGCCTTATATTGGGCTGGCAAATAAGTCCTTTCGGTTTTTCTGTTTATTTTTATGTCACTATGATACACTTCTTATCTGATGAATTAAACCCTAAGGCGGATTGTCTATCCTGTTTGTAATATGTCAACAACTATATCTGTTAACTCTTGTTGAAACTAGCTTAGTAATGTGTTTGCTTTTGCACTGTGAATGAAAAAATATTTCATTATTGGCATATTTTGATGATGCCTTGACCGAACGCACTTGTCAAAATTGGTTTGCCAAATTTCATTCAGGAAATCTTGACATCAATGACGCTCAACGGTCTTGGTCGCCCACATGAAATTGAAACGAGCAATGTTAAGGCCATTTTTGATCAGAATCCCACCCAATCAGAGCGAGAGATTGCTATGGCCCTAAATGTGTCGCACGCAAGCGTAGAAAAGCATTTGCACTAACTCGGCAATGTTTCAAGGCTTAATGTTTGGGTCCCTCACTCTCTATACTTTAAGAGGTATTTTAAAAAGTTTTTTTTCCCATAAAACATGGTTATATTTTACCATTTTGGGGAGGGGCTTTAGCCCGAAAGTTCCCCCCGCCCCCCGTAGATCCGCCCGTGTCTTAAGAGAACTGTTTCTGTCTCTGTTGCAAGAAGCTATTTAAATTAAATAGCGTTCTGTGTGTGTTTCAGAAAACTGTTTACATATCTGCAACACGAAGCTGTTTAAATTAAATACATTTATGTATATGTAGCAAGAAGCTGTTCAATTTAAAGCCGATGATGTGAGCTGCTTTCATTGAAAGTATTGTAACTCCATTTTGTAATGAATAGAGATATTTAAAGGTTAGTATTTCAAGGTTTTGAAAAATATTGGTTTTTTCTTCATACGCTCATTTGAAGTTTTTTAAATATTAAATTTATTTAAGTTTATAATGTGATAGAAAAAAAATATAGAAATTCTTCATTGATTTTTTTTTCTATTCGTATTAACATAATAACTTTTTTTTTTAAATGAAATTAACAACTGTATTACAAGAAAAATACAACAAGTAAATGTGACATTGGTAACATGACATGTACAACATGAAGAGAAACTACCCATTGGTAGAACTCAAATTAAAGTTCTATATTAGAAGGTCCCGAGGCCATCTTCTTTTCAGACGCCTCGGAGGGTTATCAGGGATCGAGGAGGAAGCAAGATTTGAAACGAGAGGATTCGGATGGTTCTGCAGTTTGTTATGGAAGGATAGGTATCTGGATTGGGCCAAATCGGAAACATATGGAACATTAAGGTCTTTATGGATGATTTTATTTGTGACAAAGTAAGGAGCGTTGAGGATTTTACGAAGGATTTTGGATTGTAAGGATTGGATACGAGAGGAATTCGATGGTTTAGTGGAGCCCCAAAGCTCAATTCCGTAAGTCCAAATAGGTCTTATTATTGTTATATATATGAGTCGTTTGTAATTGATTGAAAGCTTAGAGCATTTGTCTAGTAAGTGCTGCAGTAGTCGTTTCAGTCTGGTATGGGGGTTCCAAGTGAGTTGTTTGTCCAGGTGGAGTCCTAGGTATCGGATTTGTTCGACAGGGATAAGAGGGCTATTGTTGAAGGATATTGTAGGACAGAAAGTCATAGGTTTACGACGAAGAGTGAAGGTAATTTGATGGGATTTATTGGAATTTATTTTAATCCTCCAGTTTTGACACTATTTTTCAAGGCTTGTGATGTGTGATTGAAGAGTTTGGGATGCAATAGATGGATCGTTATTAATTGATAGGATACACGTGCCATAGGCATATGTGGTGATGACAGTGTTGGATTGGGTTGGGATGTCAGCTGTATAAACTGTGTAAAGGATAGGACCAAGGATACTACCTTGAGGAACACCGACAAACACAATAATATGAAATCCTTTTTTTTGGTGCGATATTTGGCGATATCGAAAGGAAAATATCGATATCGATATTATCGCAACACCCCTAGCGGTGGGAGATATAATTAGTTATTTGGTTACCGGTCTGTAAAAAACATTTGAACGTTAAGAATTCGCTGGGTGGCGGCAATTTTGGAATCAGAGACGGCAAATGCTACACTGAGTACCGAATAAGAAGTATTTTATTCAAATTGACTCACTACTCCGGTTAATTGTTTGACATCAACTGAAGTAGTAATTAAATTCTTTAGTAAATAAAAAATGTCAGTATTAAATAACATGCTTAAGGTTTAATTATAAATATTCTGTTTTTGGCGGGAATTGGCGCATAGCCTTCCGCTTTTATATCGGGGAACTAGGTTATTTACATACGTGATTATTAAAACGAAACCCCGGCACTGGATATAGACTTTTTTGAGGGTGTTTAACTATTGTTGGAAATTCGGGAATCTAATACCTTTTGTGACACTGAGTGAGAAGAAACAATAAGAATATATATATCTGCAATGTGGGGCTTAGTAAACACTTTGAATGAATTGACTCATCTGGTTTATTCTTCAATTGTGAGGTCTATAGGACAACTAAATAAAAGGAATATTCACTCCTGTCTAACAAAACGATTTATTTTAACAACTGATGATAAATGAATATATTAAAGTCTTATAACTGTAGGCTTGATATTCTTGGTCTTCAATGTCTTGCCTCTCTCATCTCAGGTAACGTCCTCTCGCCTTCGTGTATCTGCCTCAAGTGCTCTTCTCGGCATCCTTCTGCCAGCTGCTGCTACCTACCTGCTCTGACCTTTTTCCAGCGTCCTTCTTCATCGATTGTTTATCGATATGAGACTTTTCTATGAATAATTTGTCCACTGCATAATTGAGCACAATTCATCTTGCAACCTCACATTCCTATATATTATATATTCATTCTCATTCCCCACCACAATGTCACATAAAGAAGTAAATACTGGGGGATGTCTACCACAGTATTTGAGTAAAATAATTGGCAATCAGTACTCAGAGTATCTTTGTCCCTCTCTGCTTGGTAGGGGTGCCCATCCCCCTCCTCCAAGCAAGCTCAACCCAAGCGCAAAAATCTCACCCCCTTTCAAGATATTTTCTTGCTCTCCTCTTCTTAAAAACAAGCTAAAGTAGAATTTAAAAATCATAGCCATCATAAACTATCACACTTTCAGTGTTCTGTTCTTTGCTTTCCCCTTGCCTCCTGTTTTAAAACTTATCATTCTGAAAATTCATAACCCCGTCGAAATGTGCCCTCTCAAAAATGAAAAACCCCGTCAAAATTTGCCGACCTTTTGGTGAGTTCAAATAGACCATAAAAATCCAAACATTGTTTGAATTATTTTCTATAAATAACTCACCAGTGGTACATATCTTGAACCATAGATGTTGGGCCTAAGACTTCGACTAATGATGTAATAGCTATTAAAAGTTGGAGTAACTTCATGTAAATATTATTCATTTATTTCCGGACTTTTTTAACTTGTTTTTAGAAAAAAATATATTTTAGAAAGAATTCTACTAAAATAAAATATTTATTTGGTTTATTTTTATGTACAAATTTTACTTCAGTTAAGTTGTTTTAATTATCCCATTAATATCCCAATACTATTATTCTGAATAATAAAAAGATATTTCAAAAATATTTCAGAATGGGTATCCCATAAACCATTTGGTGATACAACCATAAGTGAAGTGTGTTCCAATGGAAAATGCTGCCCTCCGAGTTTGCGTTGCTGTTACACCCATGATTACTGCTGCAAAATAATGTCGTAAGTATGTCTGGTAAAATCTACCAACAATCATATCTATCAAAGTGTTTTTTTTCAGTTTTTAGAAAGAAAAAAAAAACCCAACACTTGAATAAACAAGAAATCTCAATATCCTGGCAATATTGGCTGATGATACTGACATATCATCCAACTCAGAAACCTAAAACAGCATCTATAAACCTAGAAAGGCCCATTTCCCTTATTGGACATTGGTGTAATAATTGAGGGAACGAAGGGTACCCATTACCCTCAAGGTCGATAGCACCTGTATTTACCTTTCCTCACCCATCCCAGGATATTTTGTTGCTTTTCTCTTCTTAAAAACAGTAGAATTTAAAAATTCTTAGATACAATTACACCCTTTCTTTTGTACTTCCACTTATCTTTTCATTTAAAAGTATTCATTTCGAAAAATCATTACTCCATCAAAATATACCTGCCTCAAAAATTCGAAATGTGACCCCTCAAAAATTTTTATGGCGCAACTTGCGCTCTTCTAGGCACCTCTTGAGGCAACCATGTAAATGAGTTCAAATCTAAACAGATCATCTTTTCCCTTCGTTGCAAACCTGTTGAACAGTTTATTATAACTCCATACCGCTCCCCACTCCAACACAGTCTGGTATCTTAGCTCCCTTATAGAAAAAGACTATGGATTCCCACAAGGGGGTTTCATGGTGCAAATTATGTCATCGAAATTGTTTTTGATTTTTGACATTTCAAGTAGGCTATGAATTTTCGGAATAAAAAGTTTTAAACCAGGAGAAAAGGGGAAAATATGGAATAGACCATAGCTAGTGTAATTGAATATGAATTATAATCTTTATAATTCTACATTAGCTTGTTCTGTTATTAAGTAGAAATAATAATAATACTTTATTTATTCTGGGATGAGTCCCTTTAGAATAGTACAGAAAGGCAGAAATGTGGGCTGAGGAGCCATTGTTTTACATAAACAAAAATACAGAGTAATTAAACAGTCATAGTAAAAAATTAAAAATTATAAGTTACTTTCTAATTTTAATCTGTATATAATAAATAATAGAAAAAAAAGATGAAGTAAAAATAATGAAGAACGAACTAATAATTTATATACTTATTTACAGTAGTATCTATTTACAATTTCATGGGACTGGATGGAAAAAAAATTATTGAACAGGCGGGATTAAAAGGTAGGGAGAGTATTGGATCGACGAATGTGAGAAGGGATGGAGTTCCAAATGGATGAGGGTCGGATAATGAACAAGCAGCGTTCGGAGAGCCCTTTTGTATAAATCAGAAGACCGGAAACGAGTATTGCTGGAATGAACAGAGGATTTAAATAGAAGGAGCTCGGAGATGTATGAAGGACGGTGGGATTGGATGACTTGAAAGAGAAAGGATGCCAGGAAATACTTACGATGGTAGGAAGGATAAAGCCACTTCAACTCTGCATAAAAATGGAAAAGTTGAGGTGAGCAATAAAATATCATGGGAAGGTTGGGGGTTGTTCATGTGCCATCAGCCTTGATGGGATGGGCATCCCTGCTAAAGACTGACATGGAACCCACTTAAAAGAAAAGAGCTTCTCCACGACGGTTCCTTTCTAGAGAATCTGTTTTGGTGGCATCTTCTAGTTTTCTTAAATTGTGTCTCCTACACTTCCATTTCTTCTTCAAATATCCATCTATTATTTCTACTCTGTTCTTGTCAGTTTCACTTTATAAATCTTTAGAGGCCACCAGATCTCCAGAATTCTTCTCAAAATGGTTGATGAAGGTTAAAAAAAAAAATAGATGATGGTTTCAGTCACTTTCCATAGCCATACTGCAGAAGGATCTATGATTTTTTTCTTCCTGGAGAGTTTCGAGATTATCCATATACTATACAGTTTAACAAACACCTGTTTTTCTTCTCATTAACCGAATTCTTAGTTATTGCTTTGTTAAATGGATTACTCTCTTATTAGTGAAGATACTTTTTGAGTAGATAAATAATCTCACTTGTTCTACTTGTTAGAACATTGAACTTATCCACCATAGAAATAATTCCCAAAGCAAGATGACAAAAGTGGCAGATTAGTAGGGATACTAAATGTTTCTCAGACATCAGTAAGTAACCCACATGGTGCAATCGAAAACAACAAATGAAATGGAGAAAGCCTACATCATTCCTTCACACCAGGCTCCATTTTAATTGAATTCACAAAATAAGGTTGATTATCATTTTTATGGATGTTAATCAAAGATTCTCCAAATTATGATCTGGTTAATAAGTTGATAGATACTTGATGTCCTCTTTCTTTGAATTCTTCACAATCAGGCCACTTTTACATTCTCCCTGCTGTATTTCATGAGATCATGATGAATGAATGAGGTCAAAGTAAATGCTAGAGTGTTAACTTTCAAGATTTCAGCAATTGTACTGTAGCATTCTCAACTAGAGGATGGGAGAGGATTCGATGATACTAGGTATTTGCTTTCCGGCATGCGGAAGTTTGTTTCTTCCGCTTCTTCAGATTTACTGTTACTGTTACTGAATGAGGTCTTCAGCAGACCATCTTGAGTGGAGAGATGAGTACCTTTCTTTTAGTCACTGGTGTAGGCTCAACAAATCTTTGTATTTATATAATATATTTAGCCTATTAAAAATAACATACCTACAAACATCAGACAAATTATTGTGTTTCAAACAAAATTACAGCTATATTATTGGAATAAAATAATATATATTCGTTAGTTCTAAATGTTAATGTGCTGTCTGTTATTTACTACAATAGCTATGGTGGATGCCTAAACTAGCAAAAATTGATTTATTATAATATCTAATATGTTAAAGCTATTCTAATTTTTTCATTTTATTTTTTTTTTTTTTCAGGATAAGGAAATTTTCTGCTCCTTGTTAAAAGTAGTTTCATTGAGATAAATATACTCTGTATAAGATCTGTATTTTATTTCCTATCTCATTATGTGGTTTTCTTATTTATTCCAAGTGATAAATAACTATATATCGTCGTATATTGTAAAAATTTATTGAGTACATTTTTGATGCAGCTAAATTTTTAAGTATAATTTTATGAATTTCAGTCTTACTTATCAATACTAATACACTATGACTGCGTGAGCAATGATCTGATTTCAAAGATGAAATGTTACATAAATAAATAATAAATCCAGGATATAATTGTTGTTATTTTTTCAATTATTACAAGTTTCTAAATTAACTTTTGGAAAATTAGTAATTATACAAATGATTCATGGTTGACTATATTCACACTATTCAACTGTTTGCTACATACCTAATGTAACTATATAATATGTCACGATGCACAGAAAAAGGGGACACACTTCTTATTTTTTCAGATTTTATTGATGTAAGTCCTTTATTATTTATTTATTTACTAGGAGGGAACCGCCTCCCCTGATGGTAGACCAACCCTCATTTTACAAATTATACAAATGTTCAGTTAATTGTACTACTCATTGCTCGAACTGTATAGCTTTAATTTACATGTACTCTGTAGTATTATTTTTTATCATCACAAAATAAACTGAATATAACCACAGTTCAAACAAATTTTTAATTTCTATTAAAATCTATATTATACATCGCCAATTTATATTATTATAAAATTATAATTTTTTTTATTGTTGATTTGTAATCATAATATATTCAACTTGTCCAGCTTCATACAAGCCCAACTATACTTTAAACCTATTATTTCTAATATTTTCACTGCTCATTATATTGTGGTTCATTTTCTATTTCATAATAATTATAGTTATATTACAATATAATATAAATATTAATATATTGTAGTCAGCAGTAGTTGTATAGATCGAAAAATAACTGCTGTCACCTAGGTAAAATCAAACTTCCACCTCCAGATGAATAAATACCATTTCCCGTACAAATTTTTAGTCTAAAATCATTATTTTGTATTAAGAGAGTATTAGGTAACAGGAGCTCAAGACATATGTAATTAAATGAACAGCTGTGTAATTAGTACAGAGAACTAATAGGAAAGCTCCTGTAACCTACTATGCTCCTAATACTAAAATAAAATAAAATATGGCATACACTAAAAACTTTTTTATGTAATAGAGAGAAATAAATAATCCACCAACCGATAATTATGAAATACAATAAAAATTAAGATAATTATGAACCTGAAATTTTGTTATGGTAGGTAGATTATATCAAAATAATATCGATTTTAAGATTTTTAACCCTCATGTATGGATTTATTTCAATCATTTGGATATCTTCCACAGAATGGTCCATTGTTATGTTAACTGAAGCACCTTTTTTTTTTTTCAAATATGAACATTTCCAATTTTCATGAACTGGGCTCACTACGATATTATTTGATCGTAAAATAATATAATTGTTACTCATATAGATTATTAAACTTTGTGTGTTATTTTTTTTAGTAAATTATTGTGAAATGTTGGAAAGCAAGTGAAACTCTGATCCCCCTTCTTGAAATATTGAAGGTAAGCAGAGAATGCTTTATATTCCCAACCTATGACCGTTATGGAAATACATTCTTCAATTTTATTTATATTGATGCTATTATTATCCCAAATTTATATTTATCACATGAAGTACAATAGAAAACAGAAATATAAATAGAAAAATCATCTTTATTTTGAGAAAAAGTCCCTTAAAAATAACAATATTTTTCATACAAATTAACAGTAAACCTGGCCAAAAAGACCTTTTACAATAAAGAATAAAAAAATATAAGTAATAAGACAAGTATACAAAGCTCTGAAGATATATTACCTAAAGCAGATGAGCAATAAGGTTGCAATACTGCAATATATACAAAAGCTATATACAAAAGCAATAAAATAAAAATAACTAAATGAAATTGGAAAGGAACGTTAAATTAATTTTATAGGTAAACCATTGTTGTGATAAAAAAATACTGACTAAAGTAAATACTCACAATGGTATTGGAAAAAAATAGAAAACTATTGTAATCTACATTTGAAGAAGTAGATTGAGAGGAAAAATATATATATACATATATATATATGTATACACAGAGAGGAGTATGTCCAAGATTAAGGGTAAAATAAAAAACATAAAATCAAACCAACCTTACAATGCTTTGTGTAAACTAAGATAGGAAATCTTTTTCATATTCAAAACAAAGAAGAGGAAAAAATTATATAGAAAATTAAAACCTTGTCACATAATAAAAATAATTAACCAGCATCTGATTGAATTATGAAGAGGAATTGGAATAAGAGGGCTTTAAATATGTATAAGAATGGTGTATGAAGGATTTTAAGTGGGATGGTATACTGAAATGTGATAGAATAGACAATAAAGGAGTGTTTAAATGAGACAGTTCTGTGAACAAGAGTGAAAAGATCAGAAGAAACAGATCTTGTAGAGAGGGAGTGGATAGCAGACTTGAATTGAAGGAGATTGTATGGGTAGGACAGACAATGATTATTGATTATTTGGTAAAAGAGCGTGCCTGGGAAGATTGTTTATGGAAGGAGGAGAAGAGTTACCCTTACTCAGCATAACAGAGGGAAACACGGGAACGTCTCAGCGTCCCATTGGTCAAGCGATTCATAATTCTTTTCAATCTGTCCCCGAGTTCAGTCAAGAGGCCACCATACACCACATAATCAAGGTGAGTTAAGATACAAGGAGTCTATAATGTGGGCATGAATAGGAGATGGCAGAAGTGATGGAATAGTTTCAGAACAACAATTGACCTTCGGGAGATGTATATTGCTCACATTCCTGGAGAGGGTTTGGACAATGAAAATGATTAAGTTTTTAACTGAGTTGGTGATTGGATGTTCATTTAGGTATAGGTCAGGAATTTAGTATAGGATCCGAGAAAGAGTTTGGAACCAATAAAATAATAATAAATATTCAAGGAAAAAAATGTTATTTCTAAATAAAGGACTAAAATTAAAATTGTATACTGTTTAATAAATTCTATTATTCTTTAAACTTATGTAATCTTATATTCATATAGTTTTATAATAACATCCATCCATACATGTCTCTTGCATAATTAGGAAAGCCTCTACTGAGATTCCAAAAAATCGCATGAGCAGTTGTTTTTCATAAATTATAAGAAGTTAAACCTCTGTTATTCAAAAATAAGTTGATATATCTCATTAAAATTTTATTTATTTTTTTTATGTTGATATAAATAGTACACCTAAGTCAAATTTCAAGAAAATTTAGTAAATTCAAATTCAATTTATATGAGTGCAGTTATATCTGATAAATGATTTCTTTGTTCGTTACTAGTTTTGGTTGATGAATATATGAGATAAACTCCATTCTGACTACAGACCTTGGTCAAAACTAAATTTTACTCATCAATCCTCAGTGAAACCGTTGGTTGTAACAAATATATGTGTGTAAACAACACTAATTTATAAAACAACATATCATTCACAGGACAACCTACAAACGTGTAGCCCTAAGGAAGGCCTGAAGCTAAGGACAAAACCTTGGCATAAAATAAAATTAAAATAATGTTTATTTTTATGTTTTTACTGTGACTACAACCCTTAAACAACTTTCCAACCATATTATCTAAGTCAAATATTTCTCGAACATTATAAAACAACACTTGGTTCATTTAGACAGTGCCATTTGGAAAGTGCCTTAAAAAAAAAAAAAAAAGAGGCAAACTGAATAATACATTACTTGAAAATGTGATATCTACACATAGTGTTAAGAAAAATTGATCAAAAATATATGTTTCATTTTATTGGCTATTAATAATAGTTAGTTTAAAAAGTAATTATAATATATTGTATAATAATATACATTTTGTTTAACAATATGTTAACATAACAATATTTCTTTTTATTAAGTTGTATAGTCTTTTACACTGAAAATCACATTGTTTTATTTTCTAAGATATTTAAATCCTCTAAACTTTATAGCATCCAGCAGCTGAAAAAAAAAACAAATTGTTATTGTCAATTTTAATTCTCCGCCACATGCTACATTGGCGGAAGGCCTACCTAGGAGGAGGAAATAATTTAATAACCTAGTCTTTTGTTTAGTGTGCGCTTTTCTTTGACAAGACTTCCAAAAACGGCTTCTCATATAGATTTTAGTTTTAAAGAATAGATAAATATTAGACCTTGAAATATAGGTAACTGTGTAACCAATAAAAATTTTGAGGAAGCTAAACTGATACTATTGGACACTTTTTTTTATGCACTTATAATCATTCAAAAGGTTATTAATAACAATTTCCTTATCATTTTTTAAACTTACTTTGAATAGTGCTTCGAATCCAGGGAATAAAAGCTGATACATCTGTGTTTACTGTAGGGATTTTGGTGTCACATTTTGGTGAACCAAAAGACACCAATCCTAATAGTGTGTACCTGTTTGTTTCTGGATCAAGCCAAACTACTGGACCACCTGAATCGCCCTAAATAATCAGATAAGGTTCAATCACATAATTTATACATATGTATTACTGTCTAATACTATACTTATTTAATAATTATATTGCATTACACACAAGTACTTAATCAAAGTAATTTATGCAAAAAGATTTATAAAGTTAAGTTCAAAATTTTCTATCAAATTTATTTTTAAAAAATTGAAATGTCACAATAAGTTTACAATTCTTCTTCTTTGGCATTACAACCTGTAATTTAGCCTACCAGTCATTTCTATTGGCAGCTGCTGTCCATCAGTTATAATCACTCAAAATTGATATTACATCATCCGTCCATCATAAATGGGGTCTTCCCACCCATTGTGTGGTATAAATGTTCTTGTCCATGATCCTCCAAGGCATCTGGTCTGTACAAGCTGAATACCTCTTACAATATCAGGATTCTGTTATAATAAACTGTAGCGAGACCCAACCAATGCCCCCAATTGAGAACACATTTGGAAATCATTGTTTCTCATTATGGTAGTTCACGTAATCTATACCCATTAATTTTTTTTTTAATACTTTTTCTACAATAAAAAAAATATTGCTGGAAAAGAACGGAATTGAAAATTTCATTACAAAAAGAAAAATTTAAAAAAACAAAATTATTTTTCTGCTTTAATTAATTATTGAATTCTAGGTGAACTTAAAGTTAGGCATTTTTTTATTACTATTAACATTGAGAAATGATTGATTATTTCCAACAATCAAAATTAAAACTAATTTAAAGGAAAGAATTTTTTTAATTTATATCATAATTAATTCAGTTTGTATTGCAGATAAACTGATCAAAGATTATATTACATTTATGGATAGTGATAAGGAACATAATATGATATTTGAGTTATAGCCTATGGTCCCTCAAATTGTTATTTAAGTGTTTCTTGGCATCTGTAAGAAATAATTACAAATATTCTGTATGATTCTAGTAGGAAGCTTAATTTTCTAAATAAATAGTCAATAGTTTATGTGAGTTTAGACATTTCACAAACTATGGGAAACACAAATATTTAAATGATATTCTCTATGCTAGTGTTTTTGATGTTTTCCATCTGCTGTCGGTAAAAAGAGAAAGTTGGGCTTATCATTAATGTAATTAATTTTATGTGGTTTTTATTTATTTTTTTAATTAAGATTATGTTACATCAATTTGTTATAATTAATTTATTATAAATTCTAATGATTTTTTTAAGTATAAGGGCGTATCTCAAATTAATTTATTTACATCATAAACGCATATAAAACAGCCCTATAAGAATTTTGTAACTGTTCTGTAATGGTAAATTTGTATAGTCAATATATGTATTTCTTTATTTATTATGAATCAAAAATTATAATGATGTGAAATATAATATGTGTTGCTTATTTGATTCCCTATCTTTTGGATTAGACACCTGCACAGTAAATCCTATATATTATTTCTAAAAGGTGTTTTTTTGTTGGTACACAATAACTTCTTCAATTCTTCATCAAATTCAATGATTGACCACTCATTTTGAAGATATTCTGCTCCTTCTCTTATCCCCCCGAAATTTCTGGAAAAAAAGTTATGGAAGAAAAGAAACTTTATTTGCGAATAACTCAAAAAGCACGCATTTTTCTCTTGATTGTACCCATGATAATTAGAAAGATTACTAAATTAACTACAAGACAAAAAAAAAATCGTAAAATCAATTAGAAATATGTGCAATTTAAACAATTTGTATTGACAGGAGTAAAGTGTGTTGGAAGATTTTTTAAAGAAGAAACAGAGTTGAGATTTGTATTTCGCAGCTCGAAAGACCCTCGAATACGAATTTTCATTCTGGTCGAAAAATAATTTTTTTTTTCTACAAATTTGAACTAAGGCAATATTTTTCCACATATTCACACGAAAATTTCCAGCAGTGTATGCCCTTATAAACTACACGAAATGACACAAACTGCTAATAAATATAAAAAGTTTTTTTATTAACTTTACTATTTCTTAAAGACATTTGGTTGTTCTTACATTTTATTTTTTTTAATAATTTAGATTATCCTGTGATCGAGGCATTATTTTGTCTTTATTACTTTAATTATCTTTCCAGTCAGCGTTTAAGAATAGGTCCTAGCAAAGCAATTTGCATAAATATTTTGGTCTATTATGTTTAATGGAATATTGTAATCGACTAAGAAAAAAATATTATTCCTTCCTTACATAATAAATAGGAACTACTCATTTCCATATTGTTTTAATATTTCTTCAGTAAACAAAATTATCTGTGAATTTTTCGCACGGGCCAACTAGTCCTATATATTATTTCTAAAAGGTGTTTTTTTGTCAGTACGCAATAACTTCTTCAATTCTTCATCAAACCCAACAATTTACATTTTGAAGAGATTCTTTTCCTCCACATGAGAAAAATAGTCCTATCCTCCTGAAATTCCTGAAAAAAAAAGTTATGAGGGAAAAGATACTTTATTCACGAATAACGAAAAAAAGGATGCATTTTTTTTTGGATTGTAATCATGATAATTAGAAAGATTACTAAATTACCTACAAAACAAACAAAAAAATATCATAAAAATCAGACACTTATTAACAAAGGTACAGTCCGTTAATTTTGGTATACTAAATAATTTCTTCCCTTTTAAAGATAATGCATTTACTTTTCTACTACCTTCTTTTTCCTGGCTGACATATGCTTTATTATTTCTTAAAGGCATTTATTTGTTCTTATATTTTACTTTTTTTAATAATTTAGAAAATCCCATGATCGAGACTTTATTTTGTCTTTATTATCTTTCCAGGCAGTGTTAAAAAATAGGTCCTATCAAAGGAATTTGGACAAATATTTTGGTCTATTATGTTAAACGGAATATTGTAATTGACCAAGGAAAAAATATTAATTCCTTCCTTACATAATACATCGGATCTACTTATTTCCATATTGTTTTGCTCTTTCTTTACTAAACAAAATTTTCTGCGAATTATTCGTCCGTGCCAACTAGTAATATATTATTTATTGTGCACGTACCATAACATTGGTAATGTTAGTAAATAATTTTGGTTGGCAGATGGTTGGTGGAGTGAAAGGTTTATATTGGCACAATATGTGGTTTATATTAAAAGTATGTGGACCATCGTTGGGAATGGTTGTGGGTTAACGGTTGTTCCGATGGCCAATTCTAACAATTGGCCAACCATAACTGGAAACCATTTACTAACGTTAGGCTAATAATAAATGCTCACTGGGTAACTTTTATCATATTTTTTAATGTTTTGTTGTTCATATATTCTTTGACATTTTAATGGCTGATATCCTCAGTTGCTGTTTCAAATTTAAATTTTATCCAATAAAACATACAGAACATTTTTTTTCAGTCAGTAATATTGGTACAGAGTTAAAATTTAAGTGCTCCAAACTAAGACTTGAAGTGACTTAGCCTTGGCATACCCAAAGCATCTGTTTAATACTTTACAATAATATTACAATTCTGTTCTCCTATGAATTCACTTGAGATAAATAAATTGTAGAAATTAAGAGTTTTGACTCTCTAAAATTAGATGACATAATGCCTACAAAGCAACCTCCTTTTCCAGGTGTCCTAAAGCACAATTGGGTCACAGGAAGCTGAAGACTCTTGTGATACATCTTGCACACGTTGAACGGGATGACTTGAACATCAGCCTCCATCAAGTTCTTTGACCCAGGTCTCTGAAAGCCAAGCCGTCCCCATCCTGTCATTATGACAATTAATACTTAATAACATACCTCAGAAGATATAGGCTTAAACATAATTGTTTGATATTCATAATTTCAGTTTAATGCAGTAAAAATTCGACATTTGATTCTGATCATAATTTACAACAAATAAATCATACGAAACTAAAGCCTCAAGCCTCGTTATAATATTTAAATATTCTAATGTCTGTGCATCCATATGGTTAGTTTATTGCAAAGTCATTAAGTGAAGGTTCAATGGAGATAAACTTTTAAGAATTTTTTATTTCCACTATATATATTGATGTAAAATTTTACAAAGAAAAAATTCATCATAATTATTATAATTGCACAACGCTATTCATCTACTTTTTTACTGGTCTAACTTAAAATGAAATTTTTGACTTGAAATTCTAAGTAACTGGTGTTTATTTCATTTCACTTCTTAAAATTCTAAAGGATTACTAAAGCTTTACATTTTCCTGGTAAATAAATATGCTGGCTCTCTATCTACTATCTGTATATATTTTATAAATGAAAACGTGTAGCATTAACACTTATTGCCCTCCAAAAAATCTATATCTTCTGATTTAGACAGACTTACCGATGAGTTTGACCCATTTCTTGCTTAGGTTAAGTTTCTTGTTGGGTAGACAGATAGGACTGACAGCTGCACTGAAGGTGATAGGACGGGCCATATAAATCAAGGAGATGTCGTTGAGTCCTCCCGTTCTCCCAGGGTTCCAGTTATAAGAGGAGTAACCTTTCAATGGTATTAGGGCACCAGCTGGAAAAAATATTGATAATCAGCTCAGATAAATTATGACAGCTTCAACATCAATTTTTTTCTTTATTACATAAGTTTTGATCAAACTCTAATCTCAACTTATGGACAGAGCCAGGATTTCCACACAGAGAAACCCCTCTCCCTCCACCCCTAAAAAAAAATGTAAAAGACGAAGCAGGGTAGCTCAGTGGGTGAGCACTCAACTTACAGAGCTCCAGGTCCCAGTTTCGAATCTGGCTGATGACCAGTAATTTTTCGGCCGTGGGTCGACCCTGGGACTGGGAGACCCTCCTGGACCAAATCCTCTTCAAAGCGGGTACTCTTAATTAAATAATTAATTAAGGGGGGAAACCTGATGATTGAGCATGATATTGGCCCGCCATCTCCCTGCACAACTGTTAGCCTTTTAACAGTAATTCCTCACATTGCACTTAACCCATAACACTTCATGGGTTATTAGAGGTACAGGTTTTTTTATTGAAAGATATTACATATATTGACCACATGCTTGGATTAAAACACCAGCAAGCCTAGTAAACCGTATAAAAACTGTAAATCTTGGATTATTTGCCATCATCATAATTTTAAAATTACAGTCAACTATTTATTCATCTCTAAATTATACAAAATATAGCATAATAATAAAATTTGATTCTGTTTCTGTTTTATTTATATAACTCTTTTTTTAAAAAAGTATGTTAGTCTTAAGTTCAGAACTGTAACATGCCACCATAATATTTCATGAAGCCATTTGGGTTGGCCAGGTCTGTTTTAGAGAATGTTATAAGAGCGATTCAGACAAATACTTTTTTTTTTCTTTTTAATCTGTTTATTGAATAATAATACAATCAGCCACTGCTGGAGGGCTATAAGCATTAGGGCTACAAGTTCTCATTCATACAATATATACAAATAATAAAGAAATAAATATAAATATAATAAGTAAATAAATAATACTGGTGAAGAAGTTAAATAAAAATAAAATAAAATAAAAATTTCTAAAGACAATCATACCTATATACAATATATACATTCGCCCAAGAATCTCCGAGCCAGGCTTTTTCCCCCATACGTGGAAGGCGAAGCAAGACTCCGGGAGATCCCAGCGCCACTTTTCCAGCCGCATCACTAGTATTAGAAGCCAATGGAGACTGAAAGAGGGCACTACAGCCACAGACGCTCAGGACATGAGTGGAGAAGCTGGCCATTGCCAGGACTCCAAAGGCATATTTACAAAAGATCTCGAGGCCACTGCCGTTTCAACCTTCGAGGGGGATGGTATGGATGTTCGGAGCTGGATAGGGATTGCGCTAGAGGATTGGGATGATGAATGAGGTTCTGGTGAAAGTTGGAGAATCTGGATGGGATGATGTCATGGACATATGGGATGTTAAGGTCATGGTGTAGGGTCTTGTTCGTGACATAATATGGAGCATTGACTATTGTTCGAAGGACTTTGGACTGGAAGGATTGGATGCGTTTGATATTCGATGATTTAGTTGTCCCCCACAGTTCAAGTCCGTAGGTCCAGATAGGTTTCAGTATGGTCTTGTAGATTAATAATTTGTTTTCTGTTGAGAGATGAGATGTTCTGTTTAGTAGTCTATATAGCTGACCAAATCGTCGGTTAAGCTCTTGTCTTTTAAGTCTGGTATGTGGGTTCCAAGTCAGTCTTTTGTCCAAAAGGAAGCCAAGGTATCGGACTGTGTCTGAGTAGGGAAGAGGAATTGAATTAAAAAGGATTGGTGGACAGGATCTGCGTCGAAGAGTGAAAGTTACATGCTTGCATTTTGATTCATTAATTTTGATGCGCCAGTTGTTGCACCACTGCTCAATGAAGGAAAGGTGTCTTTGCAGGTTCTGAGACGCTATTAGAGGATCCGAGTGAGAGGATAGGATGGCAGTATCATCAGCAAATGTTGCTAGGAAGGTATCAGGACTTGAAGGGATGTCAGCGGTGAAAAGGATGTAGAGAACTGGGCCCAAGACACTGCCTTGTGGAACACCAGCCTCAATTGGATAATGTTTGGAGAGTTCAGTGCCGCAGCGGACTTGAAAGGAGCGATTTGAAAGGTAGGATTTGAGGACTAGGTACAAGGGTTGAGGTAAATGGGTTTTGAGTTTGAAAAGCAAGCCATCGTGCCACACCCGGTCGAAAGCTTGAGCTACGTCCAGAAAGGCACCAGTGCAATATTGCTTGTTTTCAAGTGCAGAGGATATGTGGTCGACAACGCGAAGGCCTTGTTGGACAGTGGAGTGTCTTGAGCGGAATCCAAACTGATGGGGAGGGATATTGTGGGATTCGAGTATGGGTAGGATGCGTTTGAGAAGGATTTTCTCAAAGATTTTGGAAAGGATCGGAAGTAGGCTTATCGGTCTATAGGATGATGTATAATTAACAGGTTTACCTGGTTTAGGAAAGAGGATAATTATGGAGTGTTTCCACACCAGAGGAAAGTGGGTTGTGTGGAGGATACAGTTGAATAGGTATGTAAGGAATATAATTGCTTTTTTGGGAAGTTGTCTGAGGATCTGGGAAGTAAGGAGATCGTGTCCTGGAGATTTGCGAGATTTTAGGTTCTTTAAAAGGAATTTGACCTCAGAGGGGTTGACGGCTGTAGGAGGTAAGGAGAGAGGAATCGGTGAAGAGAGGAACTCTTTAACTTCAGCAGTATGGGAGGGATGGAGTTCAGGATGAGGAGTGAATGTGTACGATAGATGTTTAGCAAACTCTTCTGCTCTATTCTCATCTGACGAAGCCCAGGAACCATCATCACGGCGGAGGGGGTGGGAAATGGATTGGAATTTAAGGATTTTTTTAGTTGCATTCCAGATGGAGTTATCACTTGCAGATAGTGAGGAAAGATAGGAATTATAGGATTGGGATCTAAACGTGGCCAGTTTTTGTTTTACTTGCTTGGAATAATAGTTATATGATTTCCGATCATCAGGATGCCTGGTTCTTTGCCAGATAGCCCTAGAGCATCGTTTTCTATTAATAAGGTCCAGTAGGTCTTGGGGTAGAGGATTTGTTTTGCGGTATTTTTTAGAAGGATCAGGTGAAGATGCAGTCCAAACTGCTTGTTGGATCAACGTAGTCATGGAATGTACTGCTTCATCTAGGTCAGACAAATACTAGTGGCATTATTTATAATAGTATCACGAAGCATCTAGTTTATGCAGTTGTAGCAATTATGGCATCTCTTGGAGTCTTCGAAACAGTGGAAAGAAAATTAGAGCAGCAAATCAATGAACAGTAGAAATATAAAATTATAGTGCCCTGTCTAATAGGATCAAGAATATGGTAAGTAGGAAAGTCATAAGACCTGTGGTTTGGAGACCTATAAGGTATCTTTTTTTTTTTTTACTTTCTTTATTGAATATTAATACATTCTGTCACATTGAAGGGCATTAATATTAAGGCTACATGATTCATTCACACAATATGTACATACAATTAATATCAATAATAAAGAAAAAGAAATATAAAAAAAATAAAATAAGTAAATTGGTATGCCTGTGTACAAAAAAATAATGAAATAATAGATAAAAGCTAGATGAAATTAAAGTAAATAAATCACATTCACACCTATGTACAATATTTACATTCACCGAGGGGACTCTGAGTCATGCCTTATTCCCCAACTCCAGGAGATTCCAGTGCTTCTCTCTCAGCCGCGTCACTGTCACTCATCACTGTCATTTGAAACCAGTGGAAACTGATGGAGGGCACTATAGCAACAGACGCTCATGTCTTGAGTGGAGAATCTGGCCATTGCCAGTACTCCAATATATATATATATATATTTACAAAAGGTCGCGGGGCCACTGCCGTTTTAACCTCCGGGGAGGATTGTAGGGATGGCTGGAGCTAGGGATTGTGCTACAGGATTTGGATGATGAGTGAGTTTCTGGTGAAATTTGGAAAAATTTTCTTGGATTAGGTCAATAACAAATGGGATATGAAGGTCATTATGGAGGGTTTTGTTGGGTACATAGAAGGGAGAATCAACTATTGTTCGGAGGATTTTAGACTGGAAGGACTGAATGCGTTTGATGTTAGAAAGTTTTGCTGTCCCCCACAGTTCTATTTCGTAGGTCCAAATAGGTTTCAGGATTGTCTTGTAGATTAATAGTTTGTTGTCGACTGAAAGTTGAGATTTTCTATTCAATAGTCTATATAGTTGTCCGTATCGTCTGTTAAGTTGTTGTCATTTAAGTCTGGTGTGTGGGTTCCATGTTAGTCTTTTGTCTAGAATAAAGCCAAGATACCGGACTGTGTCAGACAGAGGAAGTGGTATGGAATATGATATCTAAAGCTTTAGAAAAGAAGCTACTTGCAGAAGAGAAAAGAGTTCCCTGTTCAATCTATGGCCTGCTATGAAAACATAGGCAGTGAAGAACTCTCACAATTGAGGAGCTGCTCCAAAATAAGTAAAGCCAGATTTGGTCTCAGTTGTGAGGTTGAGCCTTTAGTCATGTGGCAGGTATGTGCAGAGGAACAACCTGATAAAATACATAGTAGAGGAATACCACGTCTTAAGTGCCTGGACGAGGAGGACAACCTGAATGATGAGAATTGGAAGACAGTGGATACCTGCCCGGGATAGGTGAGTGTGGTGAGGAGATAAGAGAGGCTGGTGTAGAATAATAGCAACAAAAATAAGTAATAAATAATAAAAATAAAAAACCATGAAGAGTTTTTGGTTCAGTACTACATACACTGACAGGCGAAAAATTCCACCCACTTGATTTTTTCATGTTTTCATTTAAAAATATTTCTGCTTTGAATTGGTCTATTGTTTTTAATGAATAAATAGGTAATCTTTTTGTTTGTTTTCAATTAGGAATGTTAATATAGAGGACAATAACCCTTAATCCTTAATTCAATGAAATGATTCTAGATTCCAATGTTTCCAAGATTCAAAAACGAACCATTATTATTCTAAAAGAAATTAATTACATCATCGTTTAGTGTTTCCTCCTCTTGCCTTCACTACTTCTTGAAGACGCCTTGGCATACTTTCCACCAGTCGGGAAATGTACCTTGGCTGGAGGATAGCCCATTCCTCCCGAAGATCCCTTTCAAGGTCCTGCAGTGTATCAGGAATTGTTGCACGCGCTCTTATTTCTCTTCCGAGGTTATCCCATAAATGCTCAATGAGGTTCAAATCTGGAGAACGTGCTGGTCAGGCTAAAATCTCAATATTGTTCTGTTGAAGGAACATCTGCACTATGCGGGTGACATGTGGGCGTGCATTAGAATAGAACAATCGCCGATTTCGTTGAGGATAGGCAACACATGAGGTTCAAAAATCTCACCTACATAGCGAATGGCCGTCAAAGACCCTCCAATTGGTCATAGACCAATCCAAACCAGAAATATTTTTAGATGAAAACATGAAAAAATCAAGTGGGTGGAATTGTTTGCCTGTCAGTGTATGTTGGAAAGTACTATTTATTGGTCAATAGTTGTGCATGGAGATGATTTGGCCGAAATCATGCTAAACTGCATTTGTTTTTATTAATTAAAGATACTCCCTTTAAAGAGGCTAGGTATGCCCCAGGAGGGTCTCCCAACCATAGGGTTGATCCATGGACAATAAAATAAAATAAAATTTATCTGCCACCTGCCGAACTCGAACCTGATACCTTGAGACTTTGAAATTAGTGCCAACTCACCGAGCTACCCCCCTCCCAAGAAATAAATAATATATATTAATATTAAAAATGAGGAGATAATAAGCTTACCATAACATTTAATCTAACAGTATAAACATTTTTAAAATCCTAATTAATTGCAAAGGAGGTACTCACGCTTGCTGATATCTGAGGTACCAACGCGCAGACTGGTAGGCTCTTTATTGACGATACAGTGCGCAGCTGTGATGGCAATCGACTCTGTGATGATAGTGGCAGCGCACACATGTACTGAATCCTTGTTCCGAACAAGACTGGCAACCCATGGGTACTCATTCGGCATGGCTCGGTAGCCACCTACAACTCTGCCTTTCTACAATTAATTTTAAAGAAATAAACTTAGTTTGATAATCTATTAATTTATATTGTATAGGTAACTATAGACAATCTCTAAATTTCCCAGTACAGGATGTATCACAAACAGATGGCAACATTCAAAGTATCAAATGTGTTACTCTAATAAATTGTAATTATTTAATTTCAGAATGTTTTTTATTTTAAAGAAAATGGTCATTTTTCTTTTTCCTCGAAAACAAGGTGATATTAAAAAATAAAAACAATGATACTGATATAATTTTTTAGCTGTTACTAACTGAAATGTGATCGTGGATTCACCTTCAGTTTTCTATTATGAAATTATGGCTAACATAGAAAATCTAAGTAGTGAAAAAGTAAAATAATAATTATTTCTTTTCAATTTTTCTTGGCTTGAACTTTTCATTTATATACGATATATTTTTTAAGAATTGTATTTTCTTTTTATGTTTTGCTTGTGTTATTAATTTCAATAGTGATGCATTTTAAATATTATTTATTATGATTTAACTATTGAAATGTGATTAGAATAGCATTTATGACTCACAAGAGGACTTTGCGTTATTTATAAGTCAAAGAACACATTCTCTTTGTATTGGATTTTTTTTTCCTGGCGCTTTCTAGAACAGAGGATTCTTTATTGTCCCAGGAATTTATTTGGTGTATACATCTAGTTGTAAACATACAATAAACACTTTATATTAGACTATAATCATTGTTACATTACAGTTATTACCATTGTTTATTTCTTAGTAGGAATCGTTTAATAACATTGATTTTAGTTCATTTATTAAGAAAACAAGACATGCCATTGTATTAAACTAATTGTCAATATTTACTCAAAATAGATTAATACAAATAAAATTTATGATTAACTGACATTGGAAGCCCCGCATGGGCAAGTTGTGGTTTTGCTACCTAGGCTCCTGCTAGCTCTTGTATCATTAAAATTTGCTCCTTCTAACTCATTTCCAACCCAAAGCCAAGCCAACAATAGGATGACATTCCATGATTCCATCTGTAGCAAACAAGCCGTATTAACAATTACAAGCATAAATTGAATTTTCTGCCCCAGGCAAAAATATCTAGAAGGAGAAAAATGTGTGATTCTAAAAGAAAAATTAAAAAAAAAAAATTGTTTACTTATTTATCTCATCAATTTACTATGTCTTTTAATGTTTATTTTTATTTCACTATTATCTATATATATTTTATAAATGGAAACGTGTAGCATTAATACTTATTGCCCTCAAAAAAGTGGCAGATTGTATTATTATTCAATAAAATAAAACAAAATATAATTTTTAAAAAGTCAATTGTAGTGAAATTGTTTTTTGTTGTTTTTAAGACATTTATTTTGATCTTTGTTTATAAAATTCACTAAAAAAATTATCCTATCCTTAGATAAATATTAGTTTGTGTGGTTACAATGGTTTACTTATCTATGATGGTTTGGGGCCTGGGACAGATTTAATTTTGAGGATCCCCAAATAAAAATTTAAAAAAACCTAAGTTGTGTCTCTCTCTTTAATAAGAGGGACTTTTTGGGATTGGGAACAAATTACTTTTGATGCCACCATAAAAAAAAAACTCATATGGTTAATATACATATATATATATATATACATATATATGTACATGTGAATTTCTTTTTAAAACATTTTTGTAGAATTCTCCAATGCCTATATTGATAAGATTCTTTTTGGTTCATTTGCAAATTACTGATCTATATCTGCAGAATGTTTTTCTTAAACAATAATTACAGGAACAATAATACTTTTAGAGATACATTTTTTATATAATTGTGAGTAAATGGTTGACTGTCATGAATAATGAAGAGAAGAATAGTTGGGGTGATCAGTCAAATAAGAAGACAAAAATAAATGATAATAGTTATTTTGACATTTGCCGTCGTTTCGACCTTCATCAGGGCTGAACTTCAGATCGAAACGACGGCAAATGTCAAAATAAATATTATCATATATTTTTGCCTTCTTATTTGACTGATCACCCCAACTATTCTTCTCTTCATTTTTTATATATATTTTTCTTTTTTGATAGGTGCTTTCATTTAGTTATTGTTTATACAATTTAGTTATTGTTTATATAAGCCCAGACTTCGGGGAGATAGGGAGAGGAGACGAGGGTGAGAATTTCGGCTCAATATAAAAATATTGAGGAGGCGAGAAATTTTCTGTGGTAAATTTGAAAAAAAATAAATTCAATAAGTATGTGTAAATAAAATATAATATAATATAATAAACTTTATACTCATAAGTTTATATGTGTAAATATACTTTATAGAGAATTTTTTTTATATAATTAGTCAGACTGAAAATTTATATATATATATATATATATATATATATATTTTTTTTTTTTTTTGAGGCTATGTAAACTAAAAAATCAAAAATAATTTGCACTTTTTAACATTTCTGCATCAGTTCTAGAGTTGAAGTTCTAGAAATCAACCCATGTTATGGAGCGTGTCTTCAACTTCCTGTGTATAGTGAATACAAATACATAATATATTCAATTGTTTTCTTTAGATATTTTGAAGTATATCCATACAGAGAAAAAAAAAAGCTCTAATATCCTATACAAACATATATTTATAAGTTTATTCAGTATTATATTTGTCATATCATAATAATCATGTTGAATTTTTACACATGGTATAATTTTCCGTTTTTTTTTTTTGTCATCACCTCCTCCCCCTCAATCATAATCGAACCACTTGGCCTATGGTATTATTTAATTTAAGAACATGTTGAGATTGTATAAGTATTTGATAAGATTATGCAAAGAAATAATTATGGATCAATGAAAAAAAGTTTTCTATTTTGGGGGATCTTCAGCCTAGACTGCGGGAAGAATATACCTTCAGAAAGAAATAACTAAAAATTTCATTTAAAATGTAATATTATAAGGTTTCTTTCAGTTTCCAATAGTTTGTGAAATGTCTAAAAGTGCCCCAAAAGCGACAGTAGCCAAACCCCTTATGACTCTTCTTGAAATCCGACAGTAAATTGGAAAGGCACGAACAAGAAACAAAAACACTAGCATAGAGAAACAACCGATTAAGACATTCGTGTTTCCTACAGTTTGTGAAATGTACCTTAATACAAATTTAACAAATGAGAAACTGCAGGACGTAGCTAGTAATAAAACAGTACTCACTCCAAAGCTATTTCTACAAGACTAACATTTATCAATGGGAAAATTATACATCTGTACTTAGTGAATTTTCATTGTTTTGATAAATCCTTGTACAGAAGATAATTACAACCGTTGCAGTTACTAATACTAACATACACAATGTATAATTGACATTAGGTTTGAAAGCATGTGCACTGAACCAAGAACCTTTAATGAAGTACCACAAATGGGAGAACTTTCTGCCTTAAGCCCCCTCACAGTGATGGCAATTTTTTTGTTTTTCTTATTTGAATAATAATTGTGAAATAATAATATAGATAATAAATTTTTTTTTACTCTAACATACCTACATATGAAATACGGAGTAAAGGAAAGTATTACATCTATAAAATGACAACATTATCCACATACAATTAGTGTCACAACTTTTAATCTATCGATGGTAGGCAGTGATAATCTCGTAACTCCATTTTAGTAAACTTTACAATGGAAACATAAGAGTTTAAGAACTAATAGTAGTACATCCATAATCATTTATTAGTTAAATATACAGGTGTACTTTCTTCAAATCTCTAAGTAAATATAGCCCAGAAATTGCAGTTTGTGGTTTACAAAAATATATGGAGTTATGAGGTTTTTATTGCTTACGTCAATATAATAAATAGGGTTTGTATCATTTTAATGGTATTAATGAGTTCTTAGCTGTAAAGTTTAAGCTTTACCTCCGATAATCAACTTGTAAAATTTTGTAATGCACCAACATTGGCAAAAAATAATTTCTATTCAAGGTAGAGTGGTAAGTGAAAGTTGTGGGATGTACTAAAAAATCGAATTTTTTTTTTTTTTTTTTTTTTGGAAGCCTTTAAGATATATCATCTCCGGCTCCACTTAACTTCTAATTAAGATTAATTTTTGTTTCCATTTCTTAAGAATAATAAAAATAATATATTTTTTAATCATATCAGTACTTAACAGTTTTTGAATAAAAAGTATCACTGTCTTAAAGCATTTTTTTTTTCCTTTCATTTTCTTATGTGTGAAATATATAGTAAGAAAATCATTGCAAAAGTGAAAAATCTTGAATCTGAGGTTTCAAAGGAAATGCGTGTTTTAAGGTTCCTTGAGTTCAAATAACCGTTTCACAAAAAATAAGACACCAAAATCACCGCCTATTTGTGTTGCATGATTAAGGAAAACATCATTTTTTTTTATCAGTTGAGAACTTAATTGTTTTAAAACTTATTTTGTTTTGTTTTTTCCTTTCTCTTTGTTTTCTAAGATCCCCGAAAATATATCTTCCTCTGACCCATTTACTAAGACAGTTCTACAACTGATTTTGATTTAACTCAATAGATTAGTGTATCATTAAATCGTTTTTAATCCAAGGTAGGTTTTATCCTCATGGATGCAGCCTGGCAGGTCTTATATTATATTATATATATTATTATATTACATTATACACTTACAATAATTTTGACGACTTTTGACCTTTCCGTGTTGTATTTAAAATCTCGTTACTATATTTTGGTTAAATTTCCAAGAAGAAAAAAAAAGAATTTAAGTTCATGTAAAAAGAAATAAAGATTTAATTTCTATAATTATTACTATGTAGTACGATTCGAAATTTTCAAAATTAAATATATGTAATTTCAAATATCTCTTTGTGAACGAGCTCAGAGAATGAAGTTATGAGATTAAAATAGACTGATGGAGTTACAAGGTTTTTATTGCCTCCAATAGATATAATAAATAGGGTTTGTGTTATTTTGTTGGCCTTATTACTTTCCTACCTATACTAGGTAAGGAAAGTATTGCGATCGGGTCAAGTTTCTTATATGCGAATTTCGACGGATCTATAGGTTTCAGAGCCGCTTGAGTCCAAAAAACACATTTCTAGCCATTGGTCTGTCTGTCTGTGCCGAGATTTTACGGGAACTAGTGAACCAATTTTGTTGCTTCTTTTTTTATTTTGTAGGGTATTGACTACTGATGCCTGTGACAAAAATTGGATGCTCCATGCTCAATAGCTGCGGTGCAATAAATGAAAGCATGTTTTTCTATAGACTGCAGTACGAAAACGGTTCTAACCATTTCAAATGATTTCTAAACGGCTCTGGCACCGTTTAGCCTGTTTGTTTGAAAGGTGGTGAAATTCCATACAAAACTAGATAAAAATCATTCATTTTGGACAACTATTAACGAAGTTACAGCTATTCAATTTCCAATGTAAGATTACGGGTTCATATCCTGACACTAGCGGATCCAGGATTTAATTTTGGGGGGCTTCAGCCCGAAGGATTTTTTTTTATATATATAACGATAATTAATTTGAAAAAAAAAGAAAGAAAGTAACTACCCATACGACATGGTGTTTTAGTGATTCTTGAAGTCCTATTAAATGTAATTACACGAACAATAATAGTTGAAGAGACAATTTTTAATATTTTTTCCTATAAAACATGGTTATATTTTACCATTTTAGGGGGCTTCAGCCTGAAAGCCCTCCCCCCCCCCTCCGCAAATCCTCCTGTGTATCCTGGTGAATGAAAGGGGTTAATTAAAAAAAAAATGATAACTAAGGGAAAGTAAGAAAATCTGTTGCCCGCATCACAAATGCTTCACTATTTCCTCTAATTTTAACAGAAATTATTGTTTGACAATATTATGCTATCGCAAAAAGTTTATGATCAGCAATATTAGAGGGTATTGAAAATTTTACACTGATCTATCTTAAGCCGGTTTACATTGCTTTAGTTTATCAAATAAATCGTATTCAAATTTTTCACGAAAATAAATCTAATTCAATTTTTTTTGTTTCTTTATGTACATATGTAAAGATATAAAAACTTTTCTAAAATA